ACTATGTTGATGAAGCTGTCGAGGCGACATTTGGCGAAGATGGGCATCATCAATGTTTGTATTTTTTTTAATATAAATCTAACAAAGTTCAGATCGTTTGATTCCTTAGAAAGTAAGAATGCACAGAGGGAGTAACAAAGTTCCCCCCATTTACTTTACGGTCGCTGTTAACGTACCCGGCATCGGTGTAAGCGGGGTTTGGGCGATCATCGAGCAGTGCAAAGACAGACAGCGACGGCGTCCTCCGGGGTTGGGTGGTCGCCGGCGAGTGGGCTCCGAATGCTGGATCAGGACCCCCAATGTTGGGCTCACCAGTCACCACCGCGCAGGCGCTCACTGCGCGACGCTTTCGCTCTTTTCATCGAGAGCGAGCGAGACAGCAGCGAGTAGGAGTAGCTCTAGCAGTAGCATGGCAGACGAAGACGTACGCCAAGGCCCTCCCGTCGGTCGGCCAGCGAGATCTCCAGCCGACCAGAAGCGGTCCAGTGATTGGTACCGGCTGCCGGCCGTCGGCCGCTACCACCAGCGCCGTGGAGCCACGGACAAGTCATTCGGCGGCGAGCTCTGCTCCACCGTTGCGAGCTCGTCTGTTACCATTAACCACGGATGCTACTCTCAATTGCATCAGACCAACACAGGACATGGGCTGGACATTGGGCTGGACGCTGGGCCTGGCTCCAGTTGTAATAGATTCTCTGGTGGGCCGAAGTTGGCCTTTGAGCACGTGGGCTATCCAAATGGCCGCCAAACATCGTTGCAAGCCCACACAGCGTCCTCGTCCGCTCATCCCCGTCGCTCCTTCCAAATCCCGGGATTATTAACATTTTACCATTATTACGGGTAAATATGCCCGTGCGTTACAACCTGGCAAAATAAGCTATTGAATATATATGATAAATGAGAACATAAATGCTATGATTTATCCTTTTATGAAATTGGTTGTCTATAATATAGGTTAATATTGTCAATAATAGAACAATGTCCTATGAAAGTGTATATAAAATTGATACAACTTTGCTAGATTCTTCCCTATCGAGGCATCATATCGAACAATCACCGGGCAGGCTCGACATGGGGTCTAAGATAGATGGAAACGACTGACGATCAAGCACCGCAGTGAGTTGCTACGTCTACGTTGTGATGTGAGAGCGACGGCCAGGCAGCCACCAACACCTTACTGCCACGGTGCTTACGACGAAGCGCGCTGCTTGGAGTCATCATCCAGCTCTGTGTGTCACACACCCACGTCCTTCAATGCCGCGAAAGGGAGGGGAGAAAAGGGTTTAACTGCGTTGTGCTAGCGGTCCTTTGCGCACCCGCTTGCTCCGGTGTTCCGATATGAGATTCGGGTGTGCGCCCACTACGTGCCAGCGAGTGGGTTGTCGTCCTCAACGCAGAGCCCCACGGTGGCGCACGCCGAGCCCGGTGAGCAAGGATGCCGACTGAGCCTTAAGACAGCACACAACGCACGCTGAGTCCCGGGCCCCATGGCGACAGATGTCGAGTCCCGCACCTCGTGGCGACAGACGCCAAGTCCCGTGCCCTGGCCCTACGCGAATCCGGCCTGTCTTCACATAGACGTCGCTCTTCACTCGGTCGCCCGTCATCGCCGGTTGCCGGTCATCGGTCTTCAGTTTTCACATAGACGTCGCTCTTCACTCACCGCTCCTCCATCACATGACCTAGCTTTCCGTGGCGGGAGTCCTCGCCAAGACGGGCGTCCGGCACCGTGACGCTGACGCCCTTGTTCGCCTTTCAGATGAGCATATCACAAATATTCTCAGACACCGACGCTGACGGCACCCGCAGGTCACGCACCAGCACGACGTTGGAGTTCACGGGGCACCAAACGATGCACACCATCCTCCGGGCCTTTTGTTGATCGACTCGAACACGTCCACCCAACACTGGCAAGGCTCGTAGAACCTGCCATCTGTGAGCTAGATACACGACGCGAAGTCGGCAGCGACCTGTGCGTTCTCATACAGCTGCACCCCGCATCCGCGGCGCCGTTTGAACAAGGTGTATTGTACGCTCGTACAATGAAGAAAACAAATCTAAAAAAGGAGATATATATTAATGTATGAAAATAATCCATAACGAAGAACAATCCCGCCATGGTACGACACACTAACGAGTCCTAGACGGAGACACAAGGTCAAACAAAATCAAAATCGTATTTGGCAATATTACGAGCAACGGCTCCGTTCGTCTTACCTTATAATCCGTACTATTCAGCTTATTTTTTTAGTCGAAACAGTGTTTTTTTCTCACAACAATTCAGCCAGAACAGTGTTTTTCAGCCAATTCAATCAAGTTTTAGCAAGCCGAACAGGCCATTAGGGACTCTCGGAGGAAAAAAAAACACGGACGTGTGAGGGCGCTTAGCCGGAAATAGAGTATCTATGTTACCTTATAAGAACTCGTGTCCAATAATAATCATATAAAAATAGGAGAGTTGACCGATATATGATCCAATGCATTTTGGAATCGGACTCTATATCCACAGGATATATATGGAGTGTATATTCAGTAGCCAGTTACAAAATAAGTTATTCTGTAGCCACCTCCATTTACGATAATTTTATATACTAATTTACGACAATGTCAATACGCATTTACGATAATTGGGTTCCTATAACACATGAGGATATTTACCATAATGTTATAGTAAACCACTTAGCAATGAGTTACTATAATCTCGTAAATTAACATAGTAATTATCGTAACTCAAAGTGGCTACAGAATAAGTTATTTTGTAGCCCGCTGGGTTGTGTGTGTGTGTGTATATATATATATATATATATATTAGCTAGCTACAAAAATAAGTTATTCCGTAGCCATCTCCATTTACGATAATGTCAATACATATTTACGATAGTTGTGTTACTATAACACATGGAGATATTTACCATAATGTTATAGTAAACTAGTTAGTATGGGGTTACTATAATCTCATAAGTTAATATAGTAACTATCTTAACTCAAAGTGGCTACATGATACGTTATTTTATAGCCAGCTACAGGGTAGTAGTTATATATAATTTTATAACTCGTGTCCAATAATAATCATATAAAACAGGAGAGTTGACTGGACTCTATATCCACGGGATATATTTTTATTATTAGATAATAGATACTGAATGGCCACTCCTTAAATAGCATTAGTATCGAGAGAGAAACCAGCTATAAAAATACTATTTTTTTTGCTCGCGTGGCACGCCAACTCTCGTGACAACGTGGATCCAAGTTAGCATGCACGTATCAAATGTCCCTCTTGCCCCTGCGTACTTTCTACTTTCCGGTGGGGCAATCAATTATTAAAACATGTCATGAGCATCATGTTTATGTGTTAATGCATGTGATAAAGTGTGTAGATCAATTTTGGTAACTCAAAATGATAAATAAAAATGCTAAACGAAAGTTGATTCAATAGTTCATGTATATCAAGTAGGATATAAAATTAATTTTTATTAAGCAAAAATAATATAGAACATGTGTGTGATACTTAAATAAAGTTTGAAATACAAACATTGTAGATGATAGTGAAATACTTACTGTCGAAAAATGATATTACTAGCTAATATTTCCACTTAGAAATCGTAAATTGAAATCAAATTCAGCTCAAAACTTAGAAAAATTCTAAGTCTGTCAACAGCTAGACATTGCTATATTTAGCAAATTATTTTGAGAGATTGGGTTAGAGGGTGATGCGGTGTTTTTGCTTAGCTGAGCAGCCTCATGTATCAGTTTGATCGTGATGAAGTCGGTTTCGGTTTAGAGACAATGGTTTAGTGGTAGTCGCTGCTTTAAAATCCGTGCACAGCATGTTCTCGGCTAGCCTAGCCCTCTGGGCTGGGAGTCACCAGGCTGTGGGGCGCGCCGTCGTGGTGTTGGTGCGCTTTGCATGCGCACGCGCGCTGCGCGCTTGGCCGGCCTAGTCGCCCTGACCCGACCGCGAGGAGCCGCCGTTGCTGTCTAGTGTTATGTAGTCAACAATGCCGCGCGCTTTCAGCGGTTCAGCCTTCCAGAAAATGTGTGAAGGAAGACGTCGAAAGCGCAGAGACGTAGTCAGTAGTCACGTATCTGTTGCCACTGCTCTGCTTGACGTAGTCACGTATCTGTTGCCACCGCTCTGCTTTCACCATGTCGCAAGGATATGCTGGATCTCCGATACACGAATCGGAATGATGCCAACAATGGCTGAAGCAGCATGGGATGGCTCCTGCTCCTGCTTGCTTGGATGTGAACACGATGACATGTGTTTTGCTTCGTGGTAACTTATAGATTAATGTTGTACGAGATGATACAAGATGAAACATATTTAAAACTCAGCGTCTCAGCGATGGATCATGATGCTGTCTGATATTCCTGAAATTCTCATGGGAATCATACGTTCCAGTTTCCAAGCTGGGGTCATACCGACTCCACGGCTGTTGACTAAAGGTTGTTGTGATTGAGAAAAAAAGAAAGAATGAAATGTCAATTTCGGCATGTTGTAACTGATGGGGCTTACGATGCAAACCCCCATGATTTAGTTTGGATATATATGAACTAAATCCTAAAACTTCATATAATAATCCTCTCATACCAACACGAAGGCATATATATTCATTTCAACACAATTTATGGAACTAGCACAAGGTCTTTATCAAGTGATGCAATTCGATCAGACACTTGGAGCTGTTTGGTTCTACCGACAGTAACGCAAACGCAAACGCAAACGATTTAGAGCTGCAGACCTTACCAGCGGGAAATGCAAATGAACTAATTTTATTTACGTTTACGTTACAGTTGAACCAACCAAACACTATCTTGTAAAACTCGAAGCACAACCCATGCTTCCACGTTGGTTCCTAAATCAATAAATACGATGCTAGGTTGCTGGTGTTATGAAAGTCTACTAAATCAAGAGAGAGAAAAAAACGATGAAAAATTCATATACTACAACATAAGACAGTGGCTGTAGTTATCACTCATCGTTATGCTCGTCAACAAAATCAGCTGGTAGCTGCTGCAGTGAGCTTGTACTTAAGGTATGCTCTGACAAAGGGGTCTAGCTCTCCATCCATGACGCCAGTGATGTCCGACGTCTCACACCCTGTCCTGACATCCTTGACGAGCTTGTAGGGGTGGAAGACGTAGTTGCGTATCTGCTGCCCCCACTCTGCCTTCACCATGTCGCCACGTATCTGCTTGATTTCTGATGCACGCTGCTCCTCAGCGATCACCAGCAGCTTCGCTTTGAGCCGGTTGAGGGCTTTTATTTTGTTGGCCAGCTGGCTCCTCTCCTCTGCAAAGTTGGATATTGGTATATTACAAAAACATACGTCAGATTTATCTCGTATAGCCTGCAGTTACTTCGAATTATTGATTTCAATTTTCATAGATATTTGTAAAATCCTGGCTATACAAGGTCGTAAATATCTTTTTCTCAGAGTGGCAGTCCAGCTTTGGCAAAAGCTGAGAAAATTTTGCCTATCAACTATGGTCACGATTCAGGGGTAGGAAGTTCAGGTAATTTCAGGACATTAATTAGTTTTTAACATCTTTTGCTTACCACCAATTCATTTACTACCTCTGTTTTGCTTTTTGATAACTATTATCTTGTCAAAGTCAACCTAAGACACAATGTTTACACAGAGAAGACTGACTGCATGTTGTTCAGCATATGCAGATGCAAGCTGGTCTGAAATTGTACCTGAGCAACGAACTGCAATTCCAGTTGGAATATGAACCATACGAACAGCCGTTTCCACCTTGTTTACGTTCTGGCCTCCTTTACCTCCAGCTCTTGTGAAGCTTATATCCAGGTCCTCTTCAGGTATGTCCACAGCCATGGATTCCTCTGGTAGAAGAGGCATAACCTCAACACCAGCAAAGCTTGTCTGCATATTGTAGCACATATAGCAGAAAACTGAGAATTGGAAAGGTACAATCCCTTTAGCCCACGAAAAAAATGCTGATAAATTTACAGAATTGGAACTGTGAAATGCAAATATTACCTGTCGAAGCCCTTTAGCGTTAAATGGCGATTGACGGACAATCCTGTGTGTCCCTTTCTCGCCAGAGATATAGCCATAAGCATATCTTCCCTCTAGTTCAACAGTTGCTGATTTTATACCAGCCTCTTCACCAGGTGATTTCTCAACTACTCGCGTCTTGTAACGCTGCTTCTCTCCCCACCTTACATACATCCTTAGTAACATGTCAGCCCAATCCTGCACAGATCAAACAAAAATTTTAGCTGGATGCAAGCACACTTAGAGTAAGCAAACAAATGCTTTTAAATGAAAAATTCAGTCATTGATATTCTTTCATGAGGTGAGTACAGTTGTGTATCATTATAAATACTGCATGGAGTAGCCATCAACAATGTCATCTCTGTATCATGGTTCATTGTGTGTACTGTGTACTTTTGACGACAGTCAAAATTGCAATATTCATCGTTTGACTACTTTTATTCTGTTAGTGTCTCTTCATAGTATCAAGGTAACACTTTTATGGGGACAGATAAGACTTAAAATTGTATATGGAAGCTATTGCAAAACTTAGTTAATAATACAAAAAACAAAAGTAACAAGCTTAATTTCTTCCTATGCAAAGTACGGAATGGCTAATACATAAGATTTTTTTTCCAAACTAAAAGTATTGTTCATTTTTTATTTTATTGAATACAACCATACTGCCTAAAGAGAGTTTAACTACTTCCTATGATCGTACATATAAGTCTATCTAGGTTTGTTCTAAGTCAAACTTTTTATTTTTTACCATCAATATCTCAAATTTCATATTAGACTGATGACACAAGTTTTGATACTACTAAAAAAAAACATGAAGAATCTTTTTGTAATATATAACTATTTATATTTAAGATAATACATTTAGAATAATATTGCTAGTCAAAGTGCAATATTGGAGACTGTATCGATGTCCTAGTGGACTTTTATTTGACTGTATGAAGTTAGACTTATTCTTAATCGATGCAAAGAAAAGATTTAAACACAATGAATTCCCACCTGAGCGTCAGTGCCACCAGCGCCAGCAGAAATATTAATTACAGCACCTTCCTTGTCATATGGTCCAGAAAAAAGCTGTGTCATCTCAAAGTTATCTAATGCCTTATTTAATGCCTTTATAATCTTTGAGGCCTCCTCAAGAAGACCAGTATCTATAGAATCTAATTCTTCAGTAAGCTTGACAATAGTCTCAGCTTCTTCAACCTACAAGTAGAAAAAGAACAGTACAACTAAGAATTAGTAGTGCTCATACCAAATTGTTGACATACGGGCATACGGCATTCTCCTTCCACAAAAAGTGGTAGCATCTATAACTCCAAACTGTTGCAAGGATACATGCACTACTAGATTTTTTTTGTTATTAATTACTTAATTAGCTACCATGAACTGTACAAATATGCAGCAAATGTCATCGCTATTATCATAGAAACTGTGAAAATAGCACATTCAGTTCATCAGCAATGCTGTGAGTGGTCAAACCTGTAACTTGAAATCGTTGAGAAGCTTTACTCTGTCTTTGAGCTCTGTCAGAGAAACAAGTATCTCCTGTGCCTTGGAAGGGTCATCCCACAAGGAACTATCAGTGGACTTCTTCTCAAGCGCAGCGATATCCTCCTCAAGCTGTTCCAAACCGGCAGACTGCCTGACTTCATTGACACGCTCAAGAGCCAACTCAACATCCTTCCGCAAAGTGTAGAAATCTGTCGCAAATATCGAATGATATTTCATATTTGTTACGATCTGAGCGTGGGACAGAAGCCCACTACAACAAATCAAGCATGTGAGCAGAACGGTTACCCTGCAAGGCCCATTCTGCAGCCTCCGGTTCATCCGCGACGCTTGACTGGCTTCCGGCCCCGGCCGATGAGGATCGCACTGTGTTGACCCAAGTCTGTCAATGTTTCATCCAGAGAATAAGACAGCTAATAACGCATAAATCACCAAAATCTTTTGTCGAGCCAAACAAGCTGATGCATCAGCTGTAATCCTCTCTTAAACTAAAGCATATCTTAATCTTGCGCAGTACTTGAGCTTAGGAGGTCACGAGCGTACGAGGCAAACTCACCAGGAAGGGAGCTCCACCGGTGGCGGGTGCGGCTGAAACAAACGGCGAAGGGAGCGCGTCCCTGGTTCAACCAACTTCCAGCAGCGCAGGGCGTGTATTGAGCGGCAGCGACGCGAGGGGGCGGCAGAAGAAGCCGCGGGCAGTCAACCATGCCGCCGCGAGATGCGCCGAGGCTGGCGCAGGGCCGCAGGCAGTGGGGCGGGCGCCGGTGGAGGAGCGCGCGAGCAGATGGTGTTTGCCTGTTTGGACTTTAGGAGGCGTTGGGCGAGCCGCGAGCGAACGAGCAGGGACGGATTGGGGAAGGAGGAGGAACCAGAGTGATAACTGATAAGGATCCGACGGCTGATATTAGACTAGAAAAATATTTAGCAATATCAATTGGTTTATTAGAGATTAATAAACTGCTATCGTTTTTTTTCGTTTTCAGGTCAAATCACATCCATGAATTTGTGCCATGTTCGTTTGGATTTAGACGATTTCAGCGCTCATCACCGCGGACTTATAAGCAAATACAAGGTTTGTTAGACTTCAGCGCTCACAGCGGCAGCGGCAACAGGTTTGTTACATCAGGCAGATCATCGTGCCACCGCTCGGCGAGAAGTTTGTACCCACCAGCAAGATGTCATCGACATTCACAAACATGCGAAATTTGTTCTCCCAGACCTAACATGGCTCGGCTCTTGTTCTCCCGGCCGCCCACGGGCCGACAGGTTGACCGCACAACTCACCGCTCACTCGAAGCCGTTTCTCTCTCCTCCTTCTCTCTTGGCGATTCACCAAGCCAGTAGGCCGGCCCGCTCCCTGGAACTTATCGGAAAAAGTGCACCGTTTGAAGCTCTATCAAAATTCCCAACAGTAGACCGAACTCACCACAAGTCCACAATTGCATCAGTCTTCTCAGGTAGCCTTATATTGCGGTTTACTCCACCCGGTATGATTTCTTCTGACTAGTACACTCCGGATGCTCAAACGCCATACAAGAATCCAGCAGACCTGGGTGTTTGCTCCAGTTCTCCGACCACAAAACCCATCGTGATCAGGACTAACCATATTCGATCAGGGCATTCCTATAAAAGACGACTAATGCATATTCGTGTGTGGGATCAGGGCAGCCTTTCTCCAATGCGAGGATGTACCAGACGGTAAAACTCTACCGCTTGCACCAGACCCGCGGACATTCCCATATGTACCTTAAAACCTCTCATGTCATTAAAACGTCTTTTAAATTCTGTATGTTTCCAGGAATAGCTAAGCCATCTCACATGGGGCCATCTTATCTCCACATCAAAACCCCTGGACTTCATTTTGCTCATCATCCATGTGGACATCTGAAGTATACCATGATACTAACATCCGGATTTTCTAAGCAGGTCACCCCATACATAGTGATACTAACATCTGAAGTTCACAGGCCGCACTATACAAACCACTATGCAGTTTTCTGATCTAAATAAATCCACTCAGCTCTTGTCTGATCCATACTACAAATACTAGCAGGCAAGAAAGATATGCAACATATAACCCGTTCCACCATTATATCATGTAAAAGTTCACAATTGCCGCAGCAGCAAAAACTCAGACGAAAAACAACACAGGAACCAGACAAAAAGGGCAGCAATTATCGCAGAATTCAGTTTAACTTATGACAGATAGCCGTCTTTGGCGGTGGGGAGTACACACCACAGGCTCATAGGTTCAACACATCACTTCCATTAATACATTCCCAAACTCAAACTTCATGATTCATTCAAACATAGCATTCCCAAAGTAATACTGGAGCAAACGTCCCTGATAGCACAAAAGGCAGAGTTTGTGGCTTGGTACTTAAATTTCCTGAACAGTCAGACCTGCAAAGGGGAAATCATAATCAGTGAATGTGGCTACAGTTCAGCAATTCCACAGCCAAATTGTATGCACATCAATCATAAAGGAATAATAATTGACCCCACATCACAATGACTCAATATGATGATGCAAAGCATGTATAACTCAAGATTATAGCAAATAAACAGGATGATAATTCCATAGTATTTATTCTGAACAATTTATAATTGAAACATCTCTGGACATGCATATTGCATAGTGACACTTGTAACCATGAAATTGCATGATTTGGCACGTGCATAGTTCAGTTGGAACATCTCTGGGCATCACAACAAGCTGTGCAAATATGATAACAAATTTTATTCCCAAGCACTACTATCCTATTCATGTATTAGTACCATGGAAAAATGATAACAGGAAGCCATAAGAACAAATAAATATGTTTGCCTCTAATTGTGGAAGAAGCTCCGACTATAATCCAGCCTATTCTCTAATTCATGACTGGTAGTCTTTCCAGAATAAGCGAATAACTGAATTTCCAGATTATATATCCTCTAATTTATGACTGGTAGTCTATCCAGAATAAGTGAATACCTGAATATGCAGACTATCCTCTAATTTATCACTTGTAGTATATCCTCTATCATTCAGAGGTTCAAGAATGAACAGAGCATAGATGTTTTTCCAAAGAGCTTGTGATATAATCATGAAACAAGCTGTATTTTTGAATGACACCGAAACTTCCCATCGAATCCAAGTATACCTAATTACAACTAGGAATTATACTACTACTGTCTACTGCGGGACATGCTACATCTATATAATTCTCGCGCAACAACATCACGACCTACACCCCTCGCGCAACAATACGGAAGGCCCAACAGATCAGCAAGTAAGCAAATTAAAAAGAGCAGTAGCCGATGGATGTAGGGGGTAGGGACTACGTAGCACAGACCTGGCGGGAGCGACTGCTTGAGCTTGTTGGCCTTGTCGGCGTCGTGGACGCAGAGGGTGTAGAGGTACTTGGAGCAGCGCACCTTGAACTTGACGGCGTCCTTGGCCCGCTTGATCCGCACCGACCGCGCATCCTTCCGCCGCGCCGTCAGCAGGAAGTCCTTGATCTCGTGGATCTGCTTCGGCTGCCGATGAAACAAAGAGAATCACGAACGAGTCAGCCGTTTGCGCCGTCCGCCTCCGCTCAAGCGGGCGTCCAACCGTCAGCGTGTGGCGTGGGAGGAGAGGGGGGGGTGAAATCTCACCATGGTGGTAGGCCTGGCGGAAGACGCTGCTATGCGAACCCGAAGATGAGAGAGTCCCTGAGACGGCGGCGGCGGGATATAGGAGAGAGGTTAAGGTTAGGGTTTGAGGAGGGGATTCTGAAGCGAGATCGCCTGATATGGACCATAACCCCAGGCCCAGCTTTACATCGCTTTCGCTTGGGCCATGCCTAAAGCTTTGGAGTCTTCTTGGGCCATTCATAAAGCTATGAAATCTTCTTGGGCCATGCCGTCAACAATCCATAGGTATAACTTTTGATGAAAATCTAGTACCACAATTAACTTGATTAATTATGAATGCACGCAAATCTAACCATATTTGAATATATTCGTAGAACAGACATCCCAATTGTCCACCAAAGGACATAAAATGTAACATAACTAATACCAGGAGAGGGAGAGGTTATTTCACTTGTCACTGAAAGACCCAAACCGCTGCCAAACATGCTCAACTAAGTCCCTTCTTAGTTGGCTTTGTGCTGGTTGAGCACAGATAGTATCATTTGTCCGGAATACATTGGCGAAGCAATCAGCAGATCCATCATTGATGTTTGATGGTAGAACAACCGATATCCCTGAAGCTTCATTTGGATCAAAATAGGCACTTGCCATGTCTTTCTCATCCTCAATTGTCATATTATGGAGTATGATGCAAGCTTGTATGATTTTCCCAAGAGTTGCTCGCTTGAAAAAACGCATTGGACCACGAACAATGGGGAAACGAGATTGCAGAACACCAAATGCGTGTTGGGCATCTTTCCTTATGTCTTCTTGATACCACACAAACAAGTGTTCCTTTTCTGTTTGAGGATTAGATATTGTCTTCACAAATGCAGTCCATTCTGGGTAGATTCCATCAGCAAGATAACAGCCCGTATCATACTGTCTCTTACTGATGGAAAATTGCACCCGAGGAGCTTGCCCTTTTAACATCTCAGTGAACAATGGCAATTTATTGAGCGCAATGATATCATTCTTGGACCCAACAACACCGAAGTAACCATGCCATATCCACAGGTCTTGTGAAACAACAGCTTCAAGAAACATTGTGGCTGCACTGTGATCACTATGATTAAGTAGACGCATCCATTTCGTTGGGCAATTATCCCACTCCCAATGCATACAACCAATGCTTCCCAACATGCCAGGGAAGCCACGGTCCTCGCCAATTTGTAGCAGACGCTGCATATCAAGACTAGTAGGGCCTTGCAAATATTCGCTACCAAACTTGTCAATCACCCCTTCCGCAAACCGCTCCAAACATTCCATTGTTGTACTCTCACCACTGTACATATTCATCAACAGCATCTGCCGGGGAGCCATGAGTTAACATACGGATAGCCGCTGTGCACTTCTGTAAAGGCGAGAGACCTTGGCGATAAAAGCCATCCCTTCTTCTGGTGAAATAGGTTGACCATTCACCTAGGGCATGGACGATACGAAGAAAGAGGGGTCTTCTCATTCTGTACCTTGTTCGGAATAGCTGGTCATTACAGACTGGATCTTCAGAAAAGAAATCAGCCACAAGCCGCTGATGTCCCTGTTCATGATTCCTCGCAACGAACCTCCTCCTACCACTCCGGCGGCGAGATGTACCAGCTTGTTGAGCTTCAATCTTGGCTTGAATCTTTGCAGTGATCCGCTCAAGAAAATTGTGCAACACACTTTGCTCAGTAATGAATTCTTCCATGGTGTATATGCCAGTTGGGTTGACAGTGTTGCTATCTTCAGAATCATCTGAGCAAGAAGATGTGTCTGATCGATGGGGCATGCCTAAAAAAATAAACAGATGATTCAAGTTTCGGATGAACACTTGACAAGAATTAAGCAGCAAAAGTATTTATTTTAGTTAAGATCATTTGGTAGCTAGAAATGAAAGAATTAATCCTTTCCAGTCCTTTCTAAAAAAACTTTCTGGTCCATGTGCAATCAATGAGCATAAATCATGTATTTTCCATTACTCATCTCGGTTCTAAAGCTTGGTTGATTGATGGATTCACTTGTACAGTTAGTTAGCAGAATGGGCACAGACATGATGAAACAATTAAAACATGAAGATATAACCATATGAATTCAATCTTCAGTATGGACACTTGGGAAATAAATTCCTAGCTAAAGCAACAGCTCCCTTCGAAGAAATGGTTAGTATAATAATCTTCTACCCATCCAAGCATTTCAGTAAGAGATGTCTAATGCACTTGTTGTGTAACCAGCGTGCACTTATACCACACTCTGTACCAGAAATGTAAACGTAATTTTCTATCAGATCAGCAGACTCCTGGTTTTTTAAGAACTACTAGTACAGTACTAGTACTGTTTGCTGGCAGATCACAGGTTCTCAAAAAAATCGAAATATCATCACCATTGGATATTCAAAACTCAAACTCCTCATCTACTGCCTTTCTACAAACCATTGCCCATGTCTCCAATCCAAATAAAGTCACGGATCAACACGGAAGGTGGATGGAGAGCATACCTGAGAGACAGTGGGGTTCCCTTCTTCTGAGCGGAGGTGCGGCCTTCTCGTCAGCACCGGCAGGGCAGCAGGAGGCAGGCGCCTCCGGTTGGAGGCGGCGTGGAGGTCCTCGGGAAGCGGAGCTTACGCTCCCGTGGGGGCTGGAGCTGGATGCGGAGGCGACGCCGGCGACGCTAGCGACGCTTGGTCCGTGGAGTTGGAGACCTTCTGGTTCACCTGCTTAGCCCAGCAGCGGCCTCCGGCCTGTTTAGGCCCGCAAGGTGCCTGCATGGGCCACTGACGCAATGTTTTGACAGGTCACGGGAAGGAGAAGCAGATGTGCAACAGCTGACGTTTAGGTGCCGCCGGGGAGGCGGGGACAGGGCAACCGGCCGGCCGGCAGGCGACGTCGCGACGAGGCTCGAGCGCGGGACAAGCAGCCGGTGAGGCTGGGAGAGAGAGGGGGTGAGCACCAATCCCAGCTTGGCGACGGCTATTTCTCTTCTGGCCTTTTTTTTTAACAAAAAATAATTCTCTTCTGGACTTTTTGTTGTATACGCACGGCCCAACATTCGCAAGCTCGTGCTGAGACTTCGGGCCGACTGGGATGGACTGATTGGTCATCCGATCTCAGGCGGCCGCACGGCACGAGTAAAATTACATTACATAAAACTTAGACCAACATCTATGGGTTCAAAAAATCTAATTGTCAGAACTAGGATTAGATAATGGAAAACAAACTAAAACTAGTGGCCTCTTTTTTTTTACTTCACTGCGTACTGGAATACATATGTTATAGACAGATTAACAGAAAGTGCAGACGCATGTACTCCTGACATCAACTTCTAACCGATTGCTAACAGTAACACAGAAAAAACAAGGTTCAGATAACGTTTACAGTTCATTCTTGACTGTATGGCTATGAAGATCGTTATGCTTGTAGCATTTGATTGCACATGGGAGGACTGAGCACTTGAGATATTCGAGTCCCCTGCACAATCTTGCGAACATTGGGCCGTGCGTGCAAGAAAAATGCCAGCAGAGGAAGGACGTACATATACATATTGTCGGGTTTATAAACCCGGGCTCTCTCGAGGACCGGCTTCGACGCCAGGGCTCGGCCCAGAAAAATAGCATGTAGTTCATGGGCCGGCCCAAATAGTCTAAAAACACAGCGGGCCGAAAGGACAGTCCGGTCTCCGACCGGAAGGTCTACCCGAAAGAGCAAGCGCCCGCTCGCCAACTTCTTCGGCCCACCTCTCCGACCAGAGCACTCGCCGCCTCCAGACGATCTCTCCGATCGGAAGGCCTGGCCCAAAACGCTGCTTCCTACTCCGACACCGCGACTCCGACCGGGGATCCGTAGGAAGCCTGCGTACCGCTCTTCTCCGACTGGCGCGGCCATGGCCGACTGGAGCCATCCGACCGGGGAAGCCCGCTCGGAAGGGACCAGGGGCGAACGAAGAAGACAGCGCACTAAGTCAAACCACGATACCGGGACCATACCCTGTACGCCTGCAGAAACAGTGCTCCACGACCGCCCTGACACAAGCAGTATTGTAGGCGCCGACATTTATGTCTACAGTATTGTGGGTGTCGTTGGGCTCCTATACGGCAAAAGGCCCCCCATGCCTCTGGGTATCGATAGGGGGCGCCAGGATCCACCATACCTGGTACACGTGGTGGGGCTCCTTACATACCAACAGTATTTTGCAGGTACCGACATCCATCATTCCTGAAGAAGCCAACGCAACCTCTCATGTGCACCTGACATTCTACAGTAACGTCAATAGTATTGTGGGTGCCTACCATCATCGCTACCCTCATCGACGTGGTCAACAAGGCTTAGAAACATCCGTATTCTCTCCCTCTCACCTGTAAAGCCATCCATTCATCTATAAAAGGGGATGCGCTCCCTCCAACAAAAGAGACCGATTTTCCAAGAGGTCCACTTCTTTAAGCTCAGACTCACTAGATCGATAGCCTAAAAAACCCTTTAGGCACACGCTTGAACACCTAGCTCATAGCGGAGTTTCGATCGCCCTCGGCCCTTCCGGTCGGACCCGACCGGGCCTCTCGTACACCCCTCATTTCTCCTTCTCGTTTGTAACCCCATTACAGACTTCGAGCACCTGGGCTCAGCAATAAAGTCACCGACCGACCCAGACTAGACGTAGGGCACATTGTCTAAACTAGTATATATCCTATGTCATTGAGTGGTAGGCCACCTCCGATCACAACGTACAGCAAAACTACAAATATTCACTAGTTGGTGACTTTCTGTACTGACAGTTGGCGCCGTCCGTGGGGAAGACGTTGTACGTTCAACACTTTTTAGTCATCGGATGGCCCATTTTTCCGCCACCCCCACCGTGGCGGACTCGGGCGATACGATTCGCCTCGGCTCACTGGAGTATCCCGCACTCTCGCCTGCGGGGATGCGGGTTCCACTCGTTTTCGAGCCATCCCAGGCCTTCCTCTTTGGAAGTCTGGACTTCGTCGCCGACCGGCTCGGCGTACTCCACCTCCG